ACGGGGTTCATAAACGTCGACTGTTCCATCATTGCTACGAATCTAGCACCGGTAACGTTTGTCAACGTTTATTTTTAGGGGGTTTGAGAATACTTGCTATTTCCGCGGTCGTTTGGTCGATGGAGCTGGTTTCGTTTTTGTCGTTTACTAAATGAAGGTTATTTTCTGTGTTATGACTTAAGGGGCTCTACGGGGTTCATAAACGTCGACTGTTCCATCATTGCTACGAATCTAGCACCGGTAACGTTTGTCAACGTTTATTTTTAGGGGGTGAGAATACTTGCTATTTCCGCGGTCGTTTGGTCAATGAAGCTGGTTTCGTTTTCGTCGTTTTTTAAATGAACGTTTTTTTCTGTGTTTTGAATTTAAGGGATCCCCCCTCCGTTTTCGTCATTTTCAACGGCGAACTTCTTTTTTCTGGGCTTACAATTTTATGCGTGCAATAGTGCAAATGAAAGCTTGTTCATTTCGGTTTATTCTCTAGTACAGAAATAAAAATCCATAGACGCAAACCTACCACAGGGGGGCGCTGAAGTTTGTGTATTTTGAAAAAACGCTGTTTTTGGCCATTTTCACCGGCAAACTACTTTTTTAGAGCTTAGCTAGAATTAAGCGGAGTTTAAATTCAGAAAGAGTAAAGCTTAATCTTAAAACTCTAGTACAGAGAAGTCATTTGGTCTAGTAAATAAAATTTTCTTTTAAACGACCTAGTGTACCCATATTCTGCGTTTTTGGTTTTTTTTTTCTCTCTAGCGCCAATATTAGACCGAAATTTCTAGTTCGGTTATTCTTATTAAGGAAGTTTTAAGCTTTCGAAAGACCCCTTGTATGTCTTATTTCGATGACATTGAAAAACCGTAAAAAATTCCGACAAATTTCATGCATTTTTGAAATTTTTGAAGGCTAAAATTCTGAGGAAAGATGTTCATAAGGGGATCATATGATACATCAAAATGATCCTTAGAACACGAGGAATCTGAAAATATCAAATTAAGACCCTTATCCAGTAATTGAAAAAACAGGGAGAAATCCCTTAAGGGACTCTACGAGGTACATAAACGTCGACTGTTCCATCATTGCTACAAATCAAGCACCGGTAACGTTTGTCAACGTTTATTTTTAGGGAAGAGAATACTTGCTTTTTTCGCGATCGATTGGTGGATGAAGCTGGTTTCGTTTTCGTCGTTTTCTAAATGATGGTTATTTTCGGTCTGTTTGTGAATTTCGGGGGCTCACGGGGTACATAAACGTCGACTGTTCCATCATTGCTACGAATCTAGCACCGGTAACGTTTGTCAACGTTTATTTCTAGGGGGTGAGAATACTTGTTATTTTCCGCGTCGATTTGTCGATGAAGCTGGTTTCAATTTCGTTGTTTTCTAAATGAAGGTTATTTTCGGTGTGTTTATGAATTTTGGGGGCTCACGGGGTACATAAACGTCGACTGTTCCATCATTGCTACGAATCTAGCACCGGTAACGTTTGTCACTGTTTATTTTTAGGGGGTGAGAATACTTGCTATTTTCCGCGGTTGTTTGGTTGATCGAGTTGGTTTCGTTTTCGTCGTCATCTAAATGAAGGTTATTTTCTGTGTGTAAAAAAATTTTTGGGGGCTTTACGGGGTGCATAAACGTCGACTGTTCCATCATTGCTACGAATCTAGCACCGGTTACGTTTGTCAACGTTTATTTTTAGGGGTTCAGAATACTTGCTATTTTCCGCGGTTGTTTGGTTGATGGAGCTTGTTTGTTGTTGTCGTCATTTAAATGAAGGTTACTTTTCTGGGATATAAAATTTTTGGGGGCTCTACGGGTTGCATAAACGTCGACTGTTCCATCATTGCTACGAAACTAGCACCGCTAACGTTTGTCAACGTTTATTTGAAGGGGGTTAGAATACTTGCTATTTTCCGCGGTTTTTCGGTTGATTGAGCTGGTTTGTTGCTAGGTTAATTTATTTAATGAAGCCTAGTTGGCGAAAGAATGAGAAGTGCAAGAAGAAATATCATCGAAAATTCATGAGAGCAATTCGAAAATCGTTAAGGGTATCCCTTCAATCGTTGGATAAAAAAGTCAAGTTATGAGGGACCAGGGCGGACAAAGATCATTTGAAAATATTTCTCCATAAAAGATTTTTTCTGTCCTCGGCATCCCTTTTTTCTTATCTGATTTTTTAATCGAAGGATTGAAGGGACACCCTTAACGATTTTCAAATAACTTCAGTCGAGCCATCTTTTGAAACAAGAAAACAAGGAAAAGTCAGAGGGTTTTCGCCCCGATATAAGGATCTTTATTAGCCGCGATGTTGCAAATTTTATTGGCCGCTAAAAGTTGTGTATTTATCCTTTATTGTGGCTCATGATACCGCGCTATTACAAGCGTTTTACGCGAAGAGGAGGAAAGCGTGTGCAAGCAGATGCATGCGCTCGCCGCCTGAAAAAGGGATCATCAAATCAAAACGCCGCGCCAAAATCAAAGTGGCGAGTTTGAGCACTTTCCGAGAATAACTGCGTTTTGAAAAAGAGGTAGACAAGTTCAAGGGCGTTATTAGGTCGGAAGAATATACAAAAACCAAGGCGATCATTCTGAGAATATGATGAAAAAGAACATGAAAAATTTTTACAGCTTCTCTTCACTATAAGACCACCCATAAATAAGACTAGAAAGTCAAAAAGGAAACATCAAAATTAAACTATGTTCTAAACATGAAAAGCTCCAACATTGAGCAGAATCATTATTTTTTAGACAATCTCAGCGGTAGTGCTCAATTGACCTTATTTTAGCAGAGAAAAAAATTCATCTCCTTTCCTGAAATTCTTGTAAATCGAATCTCTCTTCCAGCAGACAACTAGCAGTAGCTTATTAATAGTAGTATCAGTAGAGTTCCGCTACTGTAACGATCTTCGAAACGTGACGCTTTCGATTATCCTCTCTGCTGCTAAAAGAACAAAGTTCATTTTTTTCGTTCTCTCACAGAATTCGTCATAGTTTCGTAATGACTCATCGGCTCATTCGAAATTCGCGGAAACTGGGAAGGGTCTATTTTCGTTAAAACCGTCTGATAGACTTCTGCGGAAGCCCTAGAGCAGCCGGCCAATCACCGGCCGCTCATTCGTCGACCGCATGTGACCCGACGAAATTTATTAATTTCTCTAGCTGACTCTACCTGTCATAAACTGTAACCAAGGTACTGTTAGCAAAATGGCTCTGTCTCTCGGTAATGCCCAGAAAAAAGTTGATATGGTCGAATTTTGGATTTTTTTTTCTTAAAAATGAGCTAAATCAGAGGAAGTTCTAGCGGATGTGTGATTGGCTGAATTAGGTACAAAATCGCCCCATACTTTTTGGCAATAAATAAGAGAGGTAAACCTACTGGGGAAGAATTGGGGAAGGGGAGGAAGAGGAAAAGTGGGCGTTAGTAGTAATAGTAGTGACTGACCATTTGACAATTTTCCTGGTTCTCGATTGGATAAGAGCAGTGGAGCACTGAACCGGAAGACTCACGGCTCAGTGCGGGGGGAAGGCCCCTCAGGGCCTTCTTGCCACACCTTCAGACATATGATGAGAGCATTTTACACCACCACCACCAGTGAATATGCACATGCATAATATGCATGCAACAAATATACACTGTAGGGCGCGGCGCTTTTTCGGCCACTCCACTGTAGCCATTTTTAACCACTTTTAATGGTCAGTCACTACTATTTTAGCTGTTTTAAACAAAAAAAATTATTTTTTTCACTCTACCCCCGTTTTAAACGCTACTTAACGCTATTCTGCTATTCCCTTACTCTTAAATTAACTCTAACCCTAGCTAAACAACTTTCAGTGGTAGAAAATACGCTACTTGAGCGTCTGAGCTCTTTCTCTCGCGGCCCGCGGTTCAGTGCACCAATCCCAGCGCTCGCTTTCACGCGCCGATCCACGCCCGAGGATTAGCCGCCCCTTTGTCCTCTCATCGATCCAGCTTTCCCTTCTCTCATCCGCATCTAGAACATTCGGTAAGTTTTCTCCTTCTCGAACATTCCATTTACTTTCTATTCAGCTCTGCCTGGGCCGCGCCCGCGCGTTCAGACTCAAGCCACGCCGCTGCCGCATGATTGCCACTTCTATCTTTCGCTCTCAAAAACCGTAAACCTTTTTTCTACTCAATCAAACCTACCAACTAATAAACCTCAAAATATTTGTATTAAAATGAAACTTTATAAAATCACTTGGCTTTCTTGACGCAAGCATCTTTCGACGTTCAATTCGATTATCAAAACTTAAAAACCGTAAACCCTTTTTCAACTGAGACCTGCCACTAACTAATAAAAAAGTTGATTATTTGTAAAATATAACTTTAAAATGAGTCTTTATTTTTCTTTATTAAAAGTTCTTAAAAAGACATTATTATTTTTTTAAAATTTATTTTCAAAATGAAGCAGGGATAAGACTGGCAAAGAATAAGTTGAACTTGACAATGGCAAAGCAGGTAGCAGCGAGGAGTCCAAAAGCGCAAACCAAGGCGAAGATGTAGAAGAGGACGAGGAGAGCAAGGGCGAAGATGAGAAAATTCATTTTTGGTTTTTCAAAATTTTGATTTTTTGATTTATGAAATTTCAGAGCTGGAGTCAACCCTTTTATACGCGCAGATGTTCATGGCCGGAAATACCAGCTGCGCTTGGTTTGATCTAGAATCTAAATTACTCTTGATAAATTGAATATCAATTTTGTGTATCTCCAATTTTACACTAGAATAAACATCAGATTCATTCGCACCTTGTTTATCAATTAAAATCAAGTGCGAACGTTTTGTACTTGAGAAAGCGCAGCTGATTTTACCGGATATTGTTATTGTTTTATGGGCCGTTTTATCTTTCGGCAGTACTTGTCGGCGGCAGCTATTGATACTTCTGAAGCTCCTAGTTGGCGCACCTAGCTCAGGTTTTGATATAAAAATGAGCACTTTCTTGCAACAACCATCAAATCAATCATCAAACCAACCACAACAACAACAAAATGATCGTGCCAATCGAACAAATCAAGCCAAAGAAGAAGACCATCACCAAGAAAATGGCAAACTTTTTCAAACGCCAATTCACCACCTACCAGTATCCCGTCAAAGAGATCAACCAGAAGGCCCTCTGGATCGACACAAATACCAAGACCAACCTTGGTGCGATGACAAAGGCCTCCGTCAACTCTGTCATGCATTGCCCACCTCCGCCGTACCCAAAATCCGTTGGATTGACAGCCTTGGCCACCAAAGAAGAACCGCCAATGTACTCGCACTTTTCCGATGAAACTTTGAAGTACGCTACAATCCGACGATCGTACTCTGTCCGCTACCGAACCGCCTCCAGATTTTACTAAAAAATGATCCTACTGCCGCGCATTCTTTCATGATTTCTTTCCTTGCCACTCTTTTGCTCATAATCTTATTTATCGCCAAATAAAATAGAAAAATTTCAGTTTGGTTTTTTATTTAACAAGTCAATTTTAATTTTCAACGCAGGTAAAAGCCAGGATGTGAGTATTTTTTGTTTATTTTTAAAAACACATTTTTGTAGAACAAGTGGAGGTCACAAAGTAATCCATGTCTTCTACTTCGTCGTCTGATTTCTCGTTCATATCCCAATTGATATGAAAGTTTTTTAATCTTCTAGCTAAATCCTCAAAAACAGAATCATCTATTATGGGAATATTTAAGGCTTGAAACAGACTTTGTTTCTGCCCGAGTTTATACTCTCCTTTATGATCTAAGCAATAAAAATCAAAATTTAATAATTAGTCTTACCTCTTTTCATGTTTTCTTTATTCTGAATAAAACACGAGAATCGATCGCTTTTATAGTAATTTACTGTATTTATTCAAATATCACGACACACGAATGTTTCGCTACTTTTCAGGTGGCATTTTATTACTGTAGTTATTGCACACACGCAGGGCGTATCCTTGAGGATTCAAATGCTCAAGTTTCATTTTATTACAGTAGATATTGAATTCATTAAAGACAGTCTTGGTTGTTCGATTTAAGTTCCATTTTAGTTCCATTTTATTTTATTGAGTTATTTGAGAAGTTAAGGAGGAAACTGGTGAGTGGATTTATGTTTCATTTTATCAGGTATAAAGAAATCATATAGAAGATTATTAGGTATTGATAGCATTTTATAATTTATTAAAAACATATTCGGGAAAAAATGTTTGACGCTAGAATTTAAGAATCATTTAAAAAAGTCCAAATCCATCACGAATGAAAGAAGGTGTGCAAACGTGGATCTTCTTGAGTCTAAAATCTTTAAATAAAACATGGGCTGATTCTAAGGGCTTACCATTTTATATTTCTATCGCGTGTTTATTAAAGTTTCATTTGATAACAGGGGTGATCATCAATGTTGCAACGGCGGCAATTGAACATGCGGCTAGAATTGTTGGCACTTAAAACGCTATCATTTGTTCGAAGGAATTCTCTTACTTCCTACCATTTTAGATTTCTTAGATTAGAAGTTCATTTAATTTTAAAAAGCTCGTTCGATGTTTATATTTTTAGTTTCTTTGGCGCTCTTGGAGCCACTAAAGGGTGCTGTTTGAGGAGCTGTTTTTAGAATCGATTTCAAAAAAGGATAGTTTTTCTAAATGACATGACAGTTTGATCATGTCCTCGAATAAGAAAACACACGAAAAATTTGCCCATTCTCTTGAGTTACTTTCGGCAGCTTGGGGAAGTCTACCCTTGTGGAACGTTCTTGCGGAAGCAGGTAAGTCGAGCGCTCAAATACATTCAATCATTCCCCAGGTTCAGTATTATAGTTAAAAAATATTACTGGACACTAGCGAAGGTATGTCATATTATTGTTGATTGCGAAAGATGACAAGGCAACTCCAACCCTTGCTTATATTGATTTTTAAAAAATGTCATCATTTAAAACAATGCGGAGTTTTTGACACTTTCCGATATCTACACTATATCTGACGATTTACGGCCGCTATGGCGCTGATGAGAATTTAAATATGTTCTGATCAGGCGCGCTCTAGTCCATCGATGAGGGCGCAATTTTTTTCTTGCACTGAAATCTTCAATATATTCAGCAAGCTTAACTGGTTTGATTACTTTATGCATTACTCGCTTAATAATGGCAAAATAACAATTGCCATTCTTCAGCGAGTTCTTTTTAGAAAAGCGCGGGGAAATAAAGCAGTGTGATGATCCGGAGGCGGCGGAGTTAGCCCTTCAAAATGAACAAGGTAGCAGAGTTTATTTTTCAGTTATTCATTTTAAGTCATTTTTGAAACTCTCTCCCACGAATTGCACCTTTCTCGAGAACGCCTATTACGTCTCATCGACCAGTTCTATTCGGCTAGCGCTGCAAAAGGAGACTATATGATGTTTTCGGATGGTGTTCATCGCAAACGCAGCTCGGACGACCGTGATATCCCTCAATCGCCAAGCCCGCAATCAACAACGACTTCGAACTCCGACTCCGCGTCGTCTTTATCAATAGATCATCCCATTCTAAATGATAAGGCTGATGATTTAGCTGGAGCTTTTGAAACGTTAAAAGTTGCCACGGGCAAAGATGGGCCAGAAATTAACAGTTCTCGTCGGAGATTTGAATTTCTCAATCTTCTCAAAAAAATTGATGACAATCCTGTTGGAACTGCTTCTGCTCAAGTTTTGTATGTTTTATGTAAAACCGAAGCTGAATACAAGGTGAAGTTCGGAATCCCTCTTACAACAAAGCAAATCTTCGAATGCAAGCGGGCTGCAAAGTTCGCTGGAAAAGATGGTGCAATATTTGACGAATTGTTTCGCAAGAGTTATGTGAAGGAGTGCAGTGAGCGGTCAAGAGGGTCCACTTCATCATCAGTGGGAAATGATGATGGTTATGTTCACGGCTCCGAAATCAACGCTCGAAGTCTTCCCATTCATCCGCTTTCTTTTATCGGTAGAGCACTGACTGATCAAATGAATCCGATTGAAAAAGAAGACCAAAAGCCGAAGAAAGACGAGTCGACAAACTAGAATGGGCGAATTGATAGTTAAATCTTGGTTCGGTATCTTGCCAAGGCATAAAGTCAACGTTGATTTCTTATTTTATTTTTTTGTTTTTTTTACATTTAACGTTATTTTTATTTCATCTTCCGTTTACCAACTTAATATTTTTCTTTGACGTATTTTCACTTACTTGTTTCTTTTCTTGCTTATTTTCAGTGAATTAATTAGTGTTATCCTAAGTTGAACTTTTGACGCGCAGCGTAGTTTCATATTGATCTCCTCTTTGATTGCTGTATAAATATTTATAGTGAGGAAAATGTCTATACAGTAATCGTATCGATGTTTCGTTTAATCTGCCTCTAATCTATCCTACAATTAACAATATTTCCGTAAAACAGCCAGTGTGATAAAATTTGAAATGTGAATATGAATTATTATCTTCAGTTTCAGTAAATCAAGCTTTGACTATTTTTAACAATTGAAAGAACAGTTGGACCTATCTGGTAGCCGCCAAGAAAACCTCAGTTTTTTGCTTTGTTGAAATATGAAAAGTTGAGCTAATGTAGGGATTAGTGAAAACTTTTTCTATATCAACTTTTATTTTTTTCTGTTTATTAATACAACATCAAACATACAAATTTCTAGTTACTCTTGTGTTTCTTTGCAAAAAGTGAAAAAATGTTTCTAGAAGTATTGTTTTTCTCAAGCATTTCTATATAAACGGCGGTTGCAGGCGGTTCAACTCAGTTTTGCATTTGACAGCAAAAGGCAAAGTCACTTGTGGAGTTTTTTGTTTGCGCGATGGGAAGAAAAAAGGTTTGATTAGTACAAAAGCGTATGAGTCTAAAATAGTCGCAGCAAGCGCAGCAGAAACGCAGCAGCGGCTGTCGGACCGAGATCGCGCGCCAACGAACTCCACCAAAACCATATCGTGGTCTTCCTCCAGCATCTCCTCCGCTATCACCTCGGGAGTATCTTGAGGTGCATTCGTTGGACGCATTGGACTCCTTTTTTCGAGGGAACGAGACGGTTGCTCTGGACGAAAGTGCGTTGAACGACACTATCGTCGGTGGCGAAAATCGCGTGCCGATTGAAGCTGCGCCGAAATCTCGCACTTATCGCCAGCTCTTCTTCACCGATGACGAGTCGACTGACGGAGAACTTGACCAAGCGTTCATCGAAGAGCCCGAGCATGGTCGTAGACGAGCAAACTTTTGCTACACCTATCGGGGGCTCATAAAAAAAAAGGGCCGCAAAAATCCTGCCGAAGTCATTCGGTACGTAGATGACAAGGGCAATTCAAGCCGGTGGTTCTTTCGCCCTTTGTACGCCCGTTTCTGCAGTACCAGCCACGGCTACTTAAAATTCGACGAGTCTCGTAAGTCTTTATTTCTTTATGTTTTCAAACTTGAAATTTAGGGTATGAAGGGACTGGCGAAGATCTTGACAGAATCTTAAAGATTCTTGATAAGGTCTCCCGAAATCGAGTCTTCGAAATGGCGGAGCTGGAGAAGGAATTAGAGAATGAAGAATATGGGGTATTGGTCGAAACAAAGGATTATCTTTTGCCTCTGCGCAACATCCAGTTTGGAATTGCCAACCTCAAGAAAGACGATCCTGACCGAGCTCCAGAGCACGATGAACCTCCAGCATACGTTTTCGAACCTTGAAGACTGCTAAAAAGCTTGTTGTCAAATAAAAAACTTGTACTCTTTTTATTGATGTCATTTTTTAGCATTTTCTAGCGTTATTTAAATATTGAAGTTTAAATAGAATTAAGTAAATGTGTTAATTTGATCAATCTAGAAATATTAGCGCGTGAGCAGGAGCGAAGAGCGTCCAGCCGGCGAGCGGCGAAATCATTTCCAGAAGTGAGGGTTTTCATTTCGAGATTTGGAAATCAAAAAATGCGGAGGTTTTCGCTCACATGGGAAAATCTCTGCTATCAAATCACAGCGGAGAAAGAATTTCTAAATCAGAGAAGAAAATAAAATTTATCGAAAAGAGAATTTATTTTATGACTGACCGCTATCAAAGTAAATGTTTCTCACACGCGCGTGTATAACCGATAGCCTGCCGGCTTTTATTATCAATAATTCCTCCCTTTTTTCAGAAGGTCGGCGTAAGTGAGTTTATGTTTGTGTACGATGGCGCCCAACCGGGAACTCCACGCTCAGTTCACAATCATCCACCAGCGAACGCGAGTAGAACATCGAGTCTCCGGCTTTCCCCGACTCCGAGCTCCAGGACGCTCGACGATTTCACGTTTGCGAAGCCCGCTCTTCCGTCTCGGTAAGTTTTAACAGAGAGATATTTAATTACAAAAAATATAGTTCGATGCAAATGGCAACGAACGATCTTCAAGGTCCAGATGAAGCTCAAACGCGGCCAGTAGCTGAGCCAGCTTTTACCGCGTACGAAACAACAAGCTTTGGTAACGCTCCTCCGAGTACCACTTTGCCAGAGCCTGTTGGAACTGGTCGGTATCAACCGATGCATGCGCCATCTTCGCCCCCACCCGCTTCACCTCGCCGATTATCCGCTGGCCCATCTCAGAAACGGGTACGATTCATGTATTTTTTTGAATTTTTATTCAAATTATTTTCAGGTCAATAACTGCGGCGGTTCTCCGAGATTTGACCTTTACTGTCTTCTCACGGCTATGGTTGCCAGCGGACTTTGCGCAGTCGCTGTTTACGTCCTCTTCGCGTCTGCGCAGCAATGTTTGCCAACCCTCGCCATGGACTCTGGAAATGTCGCTCCTCCGCTCAACCATGCTCGCCGACGTCGATCTCTCACCAGGGATGATTGCATTTGCTCCTGCTCGTTCGACCCCCGCGATAAGGGCTGGCTTATCTCCCTTGAAACATCAAAGCCCCTTCCTACCTGCGACGTTGAGAATTACACCATCTCCGTCAACGGGAAGAAGGTGGCAAATCCTGATCAATTGGAGTTGGAATTCGCTCGGGATTTGCTTGATCTCTTGAGCGCTGTTCTTCTGAAAGACGAAGAAAACGCTCATCACGACAACGGCAGCGCCGGTAACTCGGAACCGATGACATCCACAACTGCACTCCAGACTACTTCCCGCGCTCCAACCACCACATTCGCCCCTGCTGTCGGTGAACAGGACGAGATCGTCGTCGATGAACAGAAGGAGATCGACGATCTTTTTGTCAATCCCGGTAAATATTCGCATATTTTTCAAATTTTAATAATAAAAAAAGAAGTTGCGATTCTTGAACCGCTTGGAGAAATTGACATCGGAAGTGGCGACGATTTCTGGGGCTCCGTTCCAGCAGGTAAAAGCTCCTTTATAAAACTTTTACAAATACAAATTATAGTTGAGTACACTCTTCCCATCGACGAAAACGAAGAATTCTAAGTATCCTTCTTAAAACTAACCGTTGATGTATCTCGCTTACTGTTAACAAATTCACGCTTCATCAAATTTTTCTGCTCACATTGAAACTTTACGCATTCCCACCCTCTTAATCATTTAGACGCACCTTCTATCACTTGTTATGCTATTATGATCTATTTTAAAACTGCCCTTTTAATGCACCCTTATCGACACTTTAACAGTTTGGTAATATTTGACTGAGCTGTAGCTTTGCACTTATTCGACCGACAACCATTTTCGAACTGTTTTTGTCAATGAAGCTTTTTCTCCTTTTATTGTTTCGTTTTTTATCTAGCAAGTTTAAGCAAGGCAATGGCAAAGAAAAAAGCAGTCGCGCGGCCAGGAACTCCGATTCCTTCCTGGTTAAAAAACCAGATGAAACATGTGCCAGTCCCGGATGTAGTCAAACGAAAAGCACATCAAAGCGCGAGGTAAATTAATCGAATCGTACCAATTTAAATTTGTTTATTTAGAGCGCTTTTTGCGCAAGCAGAAAAAGCCGCTAGCGGCGCTTCTTTTTCAACACTGCCACGACCCCGCTTGCCCGTCGTTTACGAGACTCGAGGTACTTGTAGACAGAAGATTAAGTACTTATCAAATTAGCTGGTAAACGGAAGCGTATTTCCTCCCCTCGAAACTCTCCTGGCGCCGTCAGAATGTCTCCTGAAAAGAAAAAACGCAACATCATCAAGCGATGTAAGAACAAAGCGATACTTTGGGGGAAAAAAACGGCAAATACTGCAAAAGGTAATTTTTTAGTTTATTGTAGCGTTTAAGTAAACTGTTTTAGCAATTGCCAAAAATCCTCCGAAACTGACCACTTCCATCTTGATGGGAGCGTACACTGCTACCTTCGAATTGACGCCAACAAAATATCGAGCTCTTGAGCAAGAAGTTATTTCTGCGAAGACTCCACCGCCGCCTTTCAAGATCGACTCACCAAAAACACCTGCACCGTCTCAGCGAGTGAGTGAACTCCTCGCGCAGGATAAAACCCCGATCACCTCTCGCACGCCGAGAATTATCAAGGGCCGAGGAGTATTGGTTCCTTTCGGCGGGTTCGTGTCCACTGAAGAATTCGTCAAAGATCAAGGTAGGTTTTTGTTAATCATCGGTTTATTTCATCGTTAAATTTGATAATTCAGGAACGACCACAATTGGAGAGGCGTTGGACGCCTTTCACTACTCCCCAAAGCCGTGTGCTCGATACGCGGCTGTTATCGACAATCTCAAGGCCAAATTCGGCGAATGCTAGATTTGAAATGAGTCTCAAAAAGTTCACCTGCTTCTTTCACCTTCGCCTGCATTTTATGTAGGCATTTATTGAAACGTTCACTGCTATTAATCAAGCCTTTTAAGGCTACACGTTACTTTTTGGCGCTTAAAAAAATTGTTATGTTTTAGACAACTCGAAATGTTTACGCACGGCGAAGGTTGTTATCGTAAGAAGACAAAATCGTCTGCTAGCGCTAAGAATAATGGGTCTAGCAAGCTCACTCCGAGAGAATACATCGATGGCGGGCGCGGCGCGAATGACTTTAAAACTCCGTCTCCAAAGCCCAAGGAATCTTCTCCTCCGCCGTTGTCCCCTCTTGAAGGAAGGTGCTTTTGATGATTTATGATTTTTTACTTTCAAGATCATCTAAGCATCCTATAGATCCATTCAATCCTGGTACTAGCGGTTTCATCGAGCCTCCCTTGCGGATCTCGAAAAAGAAAACGTCGACTTCTGCGCGCCGAGTGAAATTCGACAATCTTCCAATTTCGGAGCGTCAGCCGCGCCGTCAAAAGCGCGAAAAGAAGGATTGGTTTTATTTTTAATATTTTAAATAGTTAATATAATAATTAAACCAAAAACAGATTGTACCTGAAGCGATCAAAAAGCTAGCTGAAAGGAAGCCCTCACCAACTCGACGACGCGGCGAATATCATATTGGTGTTAAAGACTGCTTCGGTCTCGGCTACGAATACCGAGATGCCCCGGATGAGCCCATCTCTTCAATTGCAGTGTTCCAAGCCAACGCCACTCACCCGTCTTTGCAGCTCAATTGGCAAGAGGAAAAGCTTGTCAATGATATGCTCAAAGGGATCGAAACGGCGCCGTATATTGCTCAAGCAGCGTCGAACCCTGATCGATCTTTCATTATCGCGAAAGAAGATGACGGCTGCGTTCGATACGTTATTCGAACTACTCACGGCGAAAACAAATGTCGCCAAATTTCTGTCGCGCCGGCAGCTGCCCAGAAGAACGATTCCGAGACGGAGGAGATTTTTACACCAACTCCAAAACAACGACAACGGCGATATTCGGTCTCTTTTACTTCTCGCTGCGCTGCCCCTCAAAAAACATCAAATGCTTGCTTGCGAAAAGATCTCCCATTTTGCGCCGGCGAGAAGCTTCGACGAAATGATCCACGCGCGTCTGACATCGACAGCAAGGCGGCTACAGTTCAACCCCTGTATCACGGCGTTGCTCGATTTGAGCAGAAGATCGTGAAAGACCTTGGCAGCTCGGCAGATCCTGAAGCGTCGAAAGAAGAGGCTAAGGAATTTGCTGATGAAGGAAGCTCCTGGTGCTTGAACCGCCGCGAGCTCAAAAGTATTTGTGCTACAGCGGCGGACAGCGTGCGCGGCCTTCGCCCTTCTCTAGCCCAAACTGGTTTTGGAAAGTTTCTTCAGCGAAGTTCTTTTATCGTCTCAAGCGATAGCGACGATGTGGAAAACATTCGCCAGAAGATCATTTCGTCGCAAATCGACAACATTCCAGAGGACAAGTACTGGACGGAACCTGGCAAATACGCGGGACCAAAAAAATCCTGGGAAGTCTTGGCTGGCTTCCACGCACGATTTTCTCAGGATCTATTCGACAATGTGTACATTGAAACGCTCTATGTTTGGGTAAAAATTAGTTGTTTATTTGAAAAATTAAAATTAATTATAGGTTCGCTTTGGGAAATCAACATGGAAGCTACTCGACATCAACGATCCTTTGCTTGGCCCGCAATCGATCCTCATGACGGCTATCAATGAGTTCAAGATGAAGCCGTTCTTCCCATGGCCAACCTTTTTCAAGGATGACTTCGCCGTTGACAAGGCTCGTCTTCTCTTGGCCCTGGACTTTGTACCACTGCCTACGGAGCCTCCTGCTGAAATGGTCTGGCCAGAATACACGGTAATACTAAAAGTTTAGCATGTTTTTGATTTTTTTATTTAGACCTCCGTTCTTCTCGACCGCGCCGACGAAATTTACCATCCGTCATCGCCGGCGCAAGTCCAAGCGTTGTCCGATGTTATCGAGATAAAACTGTTCCGAGGAATCCGTGCTCTCCCGGATCATGAAATGACAGCTTTTCTCGGCAGCTCGGACGACGAGGACGTGATCCTCCTCGAACGTTTCGCAATTCTACGAGACCGATTCGATCAGTACTTTGGCCGCGACCGCGTCCAATCAACTGCGGTTAGAGGATCATCTACGTTCGTCGAAGTCCTCAAAAGCCTGCGCGCCGTCCTCCCCGAAATCTTTCGGGAGAACGTCGACTACATCCCCACAAATGAGGCATTGCAAATATATCTGATCCGCGCTGCTCAAACTCCTGCCAGTGAGGATGGAGCTTTTCTCGCCTTGGTAAAATTTTCTTTTTATATTTATTTTAAAATAAATTTAGTTCGGCCTCTCCTCCCCAATTCCAGCAAAATTCTTCAAGCAGCATTCGTTTGAGGTATTTCCACAATCTCAAAAACGCGAAACATTTTTGCCATTCGCTGTAAAATCTCGACAAGAGATTATTACAGCCTTCAAGGCAAAATCACCAGAACTTCTCAAGGTCTTGGGCGAGGATGCTGAGCCGTTCCTCGAATCAAAATTCAAGTACGACCCCGTTCGCCGCTTGCCCGAGCACAAGCCAGCCGACGATAAAAAAGAAGCTTCGGACGTAAAAGACGACAGCAACAATAACAATGGCGACATTGTGTACATCAGTAGCGATGATGCTCCCGCGAAGCATCTCAGCGATGACGATGACCGCTCCGACAGCGCTTTCTTCCTTGATTGTCCGTCAACAAGCAGCGAAGATGAAATCGTGGCTCCGAAAATCGGCGGGCGCTTTGCTCTTCTTTCCTCTGAAGAGGAGCTCTGAAAATTTTTTTCGATGTAGACAGTCTGTTTTTCCAGTATTAACTGATGTAATAGCTGTTTTTTCCGACTTATTGTTTTCAATCCCTTGTTTCAGATAATTGAAAAGGGATGCGGGCGATCGTTTTTGACAGGGTTTCTTGGTGCTTACGATGAATGGGATTGTGAAATCATTCACCCCTTTTATCAGCACGACGATTGGTGCTCACGAGGTCATTTCTATAACATTCACTGCCTGGACGAGCCATTATCTACAAGTACCGACACGCCGATCGTAAAATCTACTCAATCTGTCTCTTCTTTGCCCACAAAAAGAATACGATTGAGCCTCTGGCAACAAGTGAGTCAACGGAATCAACGACGGCTACTACGGCTGAAACGTCGACATCCATCGCTTCTACAGATGCACAGACGACAAACAGCGTCAGTACCGAACAGTTGGTTACTCTGCCAAATTCAACCGCGCCGTCAAATATTACGCAGTTGGCAAGCACAGTCGAAGAAAAAAATCGACTCAAGGTAGGGTAAACTTGCAGGGTATCCTTTTGTTTGTGGTAGCAACTAATTTCTAGGTATGGTTAAAATTTGGTCAGATCTAAATTGTGCTACTTAATTTTTGTATTTTACAGTTGCTACCATAAAAATTTTGGTACCATGCGATTTTTTGCCACCATGAAAATTTTGCTACCCTGCAACTTTAAAATTTAATTTTTCTACTTTTAAATCCTAGCTAAAACTCAAATGAGGTGAATTCTCTGGGCGTTTCCTTTTATGCAAATTACCAGCGCATTCTTTTGTGTAAATGTTAATCCGCGCGCGTCGACCGTGTCTTCTAGTGTTCGCGCGACCGGAAGGTCATTAAATGTCAACCCGATTTTCGCGGAAAACCAGTGCATCTTTTTTCGAAAACCGGAAGTTTTGAACTTTTAATCCGATTTTCATGGAAAACTAGTGATATGTTTTCTAAGAACCGGAAATAAACGACTAATTTCTCAGAAATTTATTTCAGGGTGCCAACATGGAAGATTTTACTGCTTTTCGTCGCGGCTTTGCTCAGTCTCTACTTGATTGCCTCCTGTGTCATCAAATACCGGAACCAAAATGAAAATTGTGGCTTAATTCGAGTCATTATTTTCAAACACGTCCGCGACTTCATCTTTGATTTACTATTCTTTTTGGTGGATCTTATTCGATACTGTTGCGGTTGCATGCGAGAACATCAACGCCCGCGCTGGGGAATGCTTCACGATCAACGGGTCCAGCGTTGGTGCCCGTCATATTGCAGAGGTAAGTTTCGGAGTTAATTATCCGAATTATGATTATACGGCTCCTAATTGAGCTGTTAGATATTCGTGATTGAAAACCCAACAGGTTTGTAAGAGCGAATGACGGCCAGGGAACTTCTTTTGGACAGGGATAATGTTGTAAACTTTTCTCGAAACAGCTCTCAATATGGAAGCGGCTCGCGAATTTATAATGGAACTTTTGGCGCTAGCTCGTACTCATGTTAGTTACTTAATTTTATTAAGTTAATAAGTAAACAATAAGCTATTTCAAAAGTTGTACGTTTTTTAGCCAGCCGAAACGATCACGACGCTGCGAAGAACACTCAGTATTTTCAAGAGCAGCAACGGAAAAACAAGCGACGAACGGAGCAGTGGCACCGTGCGAATGCGCAGGCTGAAAGACTTGCAATGCAGGAACGAGAGCAACGTCGGGAATGGCATTTATTTGATCAACAACGTCGACGGCAGCACTCACAACAACCAGAACCACACTTTCATCCAACTCGCCCTGTTCAAACTCAGCCGACGTCGCGGCAGCAGCAACAGCAGCAACGATCGCGAGAACAATGCGCGCCTCCACCAAGCTACGCTCAAGTGTCGCGCGATCCGGACGATGATGAAAATCAGGGTCGTAGAGAGCCTTTGCGACGCAAACGATCTTTGCGAGAATTGGTTTTTGGGAAATCTCCAAAGAAGAAAAGCCCTTCAAGCGGCGCAAATGTTCAAACAACTCAACTGCCCATGGGAGATATCGTAATCGATTCTGGCGATGCCAATAATAACGAACCTTCACCGCCCAATTACGATTTTACTGAGAAAGGAAGCCTTACTTCCATTGCAGAAGAAGAGGAGCCCTTGACAGAGGAAGAACAAGCAGCGAAATGGTTAGACACCAACTATTCTGCTTTGCCTGCTACGTCTGGCTCTTCTTCTTCGTCTGATAGCGATGATGAAATTGATCCTTCGACGCTGATTGAGCTCAAAAAGCTTAATCCCAAGGTTGAAGTTTCTTCAATCAGTGAAAAACCCGTGGCGCCCGCATCTGTGGTACAGACGAATCCTCAGTTAAGTCATCTCGTGCGCAAAGGTTCGATTCGACGTAAACAACCCTGCCCTGCTCATCCTCTGGCTACTCACAGCGTCGATAGCTCGTCCTTTCAATCGAAGGCGGTCAAAGAAGAGCCTTCCGTTGCAGATGAGGTAAAAAGAGCGTAGAACCCCTGACCGCGCGGAAGCGTGACGGATATTCGACCGGACGAGCGCACGGATGTTTTCCGCAGTCACGATCCTAGAATTCCAGTCGTCTGGCAGCTGCACAGATGTCATTTTTATTTCCTGAGTTCATGCGTTCGAGGGACCGTTTGGGTCAAATTTTTGTCGGTCTAGCAAGTGGCGATCACTTCCTTTTTGACGCGTTGACCGTTCCGGAGACGATATCCGGCGGGTTCCGGCTTAACTTCATTCGCGTCGTAATTTTTCCAGTTGAATTGACGATGACGACGCTCGTTTTTGCTTCCGGTCGATATCTGTGCACGCTCCAGTTTTTAGCCCCGATTTTCCGCTTCAATTTTTGTGTTTATATCCGTAAAAATGAAAATTTAGGAAATCGATCCGGCTGTCGGCCCGACGAAAAAACCGCCAAAATCTACGGTGTATGCGGAAGAAGACGGTGACTCGCCAACCTTTGTTCAGGCTGTCGGCAGCCTTCGCAAAAAATACGAACTCATGAAGCTAGTTAATAAAGATCTTAAAATCCAGGACGTTAATTTTCAATATGAGCCTGGTCCAATGAGTCCGATGTCCAAGATATTTCAAGAACGACCTGTTCAAGAAACACGAATTTGGGGTCCGCCGGGCCGCAACGCCGCTTCAGCCCCAAGAAAAGATCAACCGGAAAAAAAGGGCGCCCTGGACACTACCGGCAAACATGATTGCCCTTCCTCTGCTAAAGAGACTTCATTTATTCCCGTATCGCTCACGAAAGAAGAAGGGAACGAATCGATGTCTTTGGCAGAGCAAAAAATTGACCTTGATGAAAGCGCTGCCTCTTTTCATAGCGCAATTTCAATGCCGTACGACTCCCCGGTTGAAATTATGAAGAGGTTTTTTAAAATAAATTTTCATATTTAAAACGTTTTTAGCTTCAAGTCATACGATCGATTTGGCAAAAGTTCTGACAACTCCAACCACTCCGACGATATCAAAATCGTCGACGAAGTCGAAATCAAAGTGGAAGTTCCAAAAGAGCATCCAAAAATCGAAAACGACGAAGATCTTCCCCGAGCTCCTGCGTCGGAGCCTGCTTCAGTTGACGACGATGTTGACAGTGAGGAATACAGCGACGACGATGTTTTCGAAAGCATTCCCCAAGATCGGCACGTAGTTGTGACTACTACAACATCCTCCGTGTCATCGTACGCGTCATCCCTTCTCTCCCAAAGCACGGTTACAACGACAACGTCCGGCTCCTCAGTCTCAAGCGGACAGTCGGGGTCGACTTCATCCAGTGGCTACCAATCGTCCGACCCTGCCCCAAAAGGAGACACTGTTGACGTTGAAAATGAGCTGATCGATGGCAAAAAGTAATAATCAATTAGTTTTCGCATTAATAATTGTTTATAGGAGCAAGAGAGTCAATAAGTCTGCGCCAACGTCAAAGACGACAAAAAAGAAAAACACAGCGGAAGCCGAAGAGGAACGCCCACGACGTTATCCAAAGCGCAGCTGCCGAAAAACTGATCGATTTAGCTACAACCATGGCGATCTTTTTTAAATCTGTCTTTCAAATTCTTAGGATCTCACTTAAGTTCTAAATTTTAGCGCTCCGATAGTTTGTTATCAACTTTTGTTTTCAAAAGCCTTGCTCCATCTATCTCAGTGTCGCTCTCACACTCCTTTATTTAAATTTGCGCTGTCTTAGTTAGTTCACTTAGAAAAATTGGAAAAATAAAATTTCTTTTTTGCTTAAAATGTCTCTTATTTGAATGACTAAAAACAGCAACAGCGGCCGTTTAGTTAGAAATAAAGATGACGAAAGTGACGAGGAGTTCGTCGTTGTCGCCGCAGACTCTTTTAATTCCCAGTACAAATCGCCAAAAAGAGCAAAAGTTGATAACGCAGTCAAAGCAACGACGAAAGTCATTGCTAGGGAAATTGATGGCGGAAATGCCGCCGTTGCCCGAAGCTCCGTCGACTCTCAGCAGCGGACTAACACCGAAGCTTATCCCCGAACTCATCAATATGAAAAACGAAAAGTCGAAACCTTATCTCATCCCTCAACTTCGGCCCAAGTGTCAACAAATGACAAAGCCGTTTGTTCACAGCTCCGTAAAGAAATCAATGCAGAATCAGACTCTCATACAGCTTCCTTCGACTCCTCCACTTCATCCAGTGATTCACCGAATGCCCGCTCCACCAGCTTATCAGGTTTAAATCTAGTGTATTTTTGGGCCAGGCGTAAAAATCTTTTAGCAAGCACCGCAACAGAGAGCTTTGACGCAGGACCCGATTCAACTGACCATTTTCGGGCGTTTACCTCAAGACGAAACCCTGCAGTCATCGGAAGCGGAAACAACAGAGCAAACGTCGACGGACAGCGCCAGTGTAACTACAACTACGAATACGAGTACGAGACGGCAGCCATCTTTTCTTCAGAATCTTCTATGTCCTCTCAGAATTCCGATTCATCAGATGTTTCTTATTATCCTGGGAATAACTATTCTACTAACGCTTTTACTGATTCTTCTCGGTTTACTTTTTGCGAAAAGCTTCAGCGAGAGCTCCTTGTCACCGAAAATAGTACTGCCTCCGACCGATCCAGAAGAAATTCGTCCGATGAAGCAAGAAGCAATTCTCATTCACAGAGCGCCAGACGGGGCAATTCTGATTCCTCAAGAATTCACGGAAGTACTGATCAATTTTCTCAACAGCCTTCAAGACGGTAATTTTGGCTTCTTTTTAAAAATTTATGGATTTTTTAGAGTACGAGTGGGCGAATCCGCGTTAACCTCCAAATTCGAGCGATCTAGTAATTCCGAACAAGCAGTAGAATTTGCAGTGTACGAAGAATGTTTTCAACGTCGTGGTATTTTTGGAGATATGAACTTCATGGATTTCGATTTACCTGATCAACTTACGCATTTCTCTTCGTCTCCGTACATGGATGGGCAATGGAGAGATCTTATTTTACTTGAAGTAAAAGCGAAGGATTGGCAGAAAGTCAAAAACAGAATACTGAACAATCCACCACCTTTAATTCTTCCATTCGAAAAGTCTTCTCCGACGACAACTTTGAGGAAACAAACAATGGAGTCTTTTCAAACCTTAGAAAGCCGCATTCTTCCAACTCTTGCAAACGATAAAAATGCACAGATTTACACAACTTATCCTGAGAACGCTCCACTACTTACTGCGGGAGATGTTGCGCCGAATCCTCGATCATACAAAGCGAATCCTGAATATTTTGATGCTGATTACATTTCAGTTGACAGTTTGCTTGGAGATGTAAATTTTACAAATCCTTCGGGTGCTCTTGCCGCACTTGAATTTACGTTTTCTATCCTGGACATTGATTACAGAGTCGTACAAGATCCTCAGACAGGCGTTCAATCTACAAAGCTCGTTTCAAGAGCGTTTCGACTAATCAATCCAAACATTTCGGAAGTTATGTATCGAAATCGATTTGCTAACGACTCAGCAGTCTTTGATCAAGAAGAATTCGTTTTAAACAATTTCGATGACGAAGTTGATTTAACGGTAGAGTTGACAACGTTACTTGGGGCCTTCTCTTGCGAAAGCTATAATTTTTCGAAAAAATTTCTTGCAGATGCCGCTTCATTATCAAAAGAATCGCAAAAAATTGTTCCGCCGCCCGTTGAGACAACTCAAACGAATCCTGAAGTAAATAACGCCAATGAAGATGAATTTGCCAAGCCTCGCAAAAGTGAAAGAATTCGAAATCAGAAATTGAACACAATTCCGAAGTGCGACGATGATGAAGAATTCGAATATATGACAGTACCACTAGAAAAGCGCGTCTACAATTTTGATGCTAACAACTTTCGTATGCGCAGCAAGTTTTTTAATCAGACAGATCTTTTTAAATATTTGACGCTCTTGGGGAAAACGATCTATTACATGGCGCCCTACTACAAACACTGCCCGCTTCTCTTGGCCAATGATGCTTCAAGTCTGGACCTGGAGAAAAAAATCCCTCAAGCGCTTCTATCTGACTGGCGAATTGGAAATGTTTCTAAGAAGAAAGTGCGATCCGGAGATAATACAACCAGTTTTGCTTCATCTTTTGGACCTCAAACTTGTGAAGGAAACATTAGCCTGGCGAAGAGCAAGCTGTTTAATCAAGATGTTTTCCGGATTTTTTGTTTAAAAAATCAAACTGACAATAGCGCAGTGCAGTTGCTTATGTCGATAAAAAAGTATTTCAACGACTTCGCTCAGGAGCTCTTTTTACAGGCTCAACAAGCTATCCTTTTTTCGCCGAGAGAAGTCGAAGAGTTATCAACTTGGAAAAACGGCGCTAGGGAAACTTTACAACAACGTCGAACTCGATTTCGATTGATGCGACTACATTTACGATCAAGAAAACAGCTCCTTCTCCATCAAAAACGCCAGATCAAGAGTTTATTGACAAAGTTGCGCATTCTCTATACAGATTTCTGCACTGATTGTCCGTCTCAGCTCGACAAAAAGTTTCCGACTAAACTAAAATGTTCGTATGAAGATCAACAGTTTCTACAAGCAACTTTTATTCATCAATTTGAAGAAAGAAATATCCCAAGCGATGCATTAACTTGTAGCCGATGTTCAAGCCGCTTGAATAATCCATTTTATCGAATTCGTCTCTTTCAAAATTTTGAAAGCACTGTCTCGAGCACATACTTGCACCACAAACAAGTACAAATGGCGGAAGTTATGAATTTCATGGAACTTGCGTTTAATTTGTGCCCCGACACATTCCTAATTTTTGGTATTGATCGATTCGACATGAACAGTAAAAAAGGTAATTCATTGATTTACTAGGAGATTATAATTACTAATTATTCTTAGCCGTTGAAAACCCGGACGACTTACAAACAACTCATCAAGAAGAAGACGTCGCTCTCACTGACGCCTTTATTGTAAGATCGTGCACCATCTAGTATTCTAACGTATAAATTAGCTTCCCTCGAATGAAATTCGTCAGCAGAATCGAGAGCGGTTGCAAAATGAGCACTCAGGTAATTTACATTTAAGAATTATAGAAGCTTAATGATTATTGTAGCCGGCGCCGGATCAGCAAGAGAAGACGTACAACAACTCTCCCGAATTGACGACGACGTTTCAGGACGAGTTGCTGTCAACAAGTTCAGAGGAACCTCGCACGCCAAGCCCGATACACTTCCCACCAATCGAATCGTTGGTCTCGAAGAAACCTACAGAGACGCAAACGGACCAGGTTGTCCCCGATTTGGAGTCAGCCAGCCTTCTAAGACACAAGAATCCGGGCACGCTCATTCATACGATAGGCCCGTGTACCGTCAATTACCACACGACACCAGCCGTCGACCAGAATCAATCGTATTGGGCTCACCCCAATCCACCGGCACAATGGGCGCCTCAAGCATGTACAACTCCTTGGAGACCGCCGCAGAACCTCTCTCCAGAAGAATTACAGTCGACGATGTCGTTTCCTATATCAGGGAAATCGTTGATCCACTTGAGCGCATCCGGGCGGCTCTTGCGGATCGAACCTCTGTGCAACTGCTGCCAGCTGCCCTGGATGTCTTCAACGAGCTCCGCGTCCCATCATCAACCGCCCCCACAAGCGCATTCTCAACCGCCGTCTCCGTGTCAGCCGGCGAGTCCAACTCAGCTACCTCAAGCAACCGACCTTCGCATCCATCGACGCGTCAATTTTGATGAACCGTCCAAGAAAAAATCCAGAGGCGCTATCAACAAACGCTAAAAAGGTAGTTTTTCAAGTAAAAAAACATCTAACAAAAATTTTAGCTTTCAATCTTTGCCACTTCCAGCGACACCGATCTCCCGAGCTACAATTTAAATGTTTCCTGTTAAATGTTTCATGTTCTTTCTTTACTTTTTTGTGCTATTTTCAAAATAAATCAAAGTTTTTTAACCACTTTTTAATTGTGTTTTTATTTAAAAAGCCAGGCAGTAGGGTATTGTTTTAGAACTATTTGAAAGGCAAGTAAACGGTGAACTCTAACATTACTTTCTGAAAAAACATCTCTTGTATGATAAGTGTTTGTTAATAATTGTGCGCCAAACTCTTTCGGGTTAAGTTCAGCGCAGAGATCATCGAGGTCTTTTTGATTACGAATGAATTCAGTAATCGTTACAGATCCCCAACCGTTCGGATAGGCTATTTGCGTTTGAGTTACAGTTTCTGGCTCGCCTGTTTTATAATTGTAGACAGTAGCAGTAGACTTAGTACTATAAAAGGCGTCTACGCTTATACGAAGTAATCCAGAAAAAACGCTTACTAAATTACGGATAAGTTTGACAATATCACGATTATTTAATACAGTGATAACATATCTATTGCACAAGTCCTTCCATCTTCCCATGCTGTCGGCGCCAGGATTGAGTGGATAATGTTGCCATCCCTGCTCTAAAAATCGGTAAAATAAACATCAACTGAACAATAATTACTGATAAGATGTCTGACTGGCGCTCGTATAGGATGGTCTTTTCCAATAAGAGCGTCAAGTTCTTCGGGTTCAAAATAATCATCAGTTGGAAAAATAGGCGGAACAAGTCGTCGCAGTTGATTTTGCTCATGAATAACGTTTGGTTTTAGAGCTTCCTCAGAAAAATTAAAATCTTCTTGAATTCTCGCTTTAGGGTAAAACCATTGAATTTGTTCTGGCGTTAATGCGTATTCTGAGCGCTGAGCTTTAAAAGCTGCCATGAAATCTTCCAGGGGCTCTCCAGAACGAGGAGGATTGTTTTCCATTCCAGCGTAGTACCTTCGTTTTGTTCTTCGTATTTGAGCCGCTGTAGCAAAAACATCTTCCACATAATTTTCAACTGCGTCATTAATCACACTCGATTCAACATTTAAACTGTCTGCATCCATTCTAAATATTTATCTCATCAAGTTTTTTAGCCAGTGTAAAAATTGAAATAAAATTAATAATATGTTCCGTCAGCTTTTTTCAAGGCATAAGTACGAATCTTGTCTTTATCAATTATGCGCTTTTTCAGAGCGCCGTTTATAACTCGCTTCGAAAGAACTTTCGTTTTGATTTGCTTGTTTACTTGATCGAACATAAACAAGGGCATATTTTTCACAACGCTATCTTCCATGTTGTCCGAAAACAGGGCCGCAAGATAATCCAAGTAACGAAGTTTAATTTTTTTTGCGCAACCTTTGGCGGATCGCTTGACATTTGTTTCATTTAAAACGGCTTGATTATATTCCTCTAGCACTTCAAACACTCGATGACGATTTTCAGGAGCTACGATTGCTTCATCTATTCTATTGGGCTCGCATTCGGTCATTATATAGCATTTAGCGCTGAGCGCTATAAACCATCCACTCTTAAGTTTCGCCTCTACTTTTAAAAGACCTGGTTCTTTCTGGGAAGCTGGAGTGTCTGTAGCAAACCACTTCGGCTTTATTTTCGTTTCCCATTCATCTTTCAACGAAGCTTTGACACATTCATCCAACGTTTCTTCTCCCAATGCGAGAACAAATGAATCTGTATCGCAATAACATATTTGAACCATCCCCTCTTCCATGTATTCATCAAGAACATCGCGAAATTTGAAAAATAGTAGCTTACTGTTTTGATAAACAAAGAGCTGAACTTGAAGAGCGGTACTATGGTTGACCACCTTTTTACTAAATGTAGCTTCATGAAGTGGATCGCATTTCGTCTTTTCGGCCTGGAGAGTAGACAGCGATTTTAGTCGAGGATTTCGAAGCGCTGTATACAAATCGCTTGATGATAAGATTCGTGTTTTTAGAAACTTAGATCGATTAATTGCAAAGTAACCCACCGCTGAGTTGAGAATAAATTTTATCCAGTTTTGACCTGCTTGATCCCCTTTTGCTGCCGCCTTCACTCGATCAGCGACAAGATCGTTCACGAAATTCTCAAAAGGTTTACCTCGGTAATAGGACAGAAAATATTTGACTCTGTACTCAATCCCCATTTTTGCATAATAATGAAGCATCTGCGAAGAAATAAAGTAATTGTCCACGTTAAAACAAAATACGTTTTCCTCACAAGGAAACATTCGTTTTTTCTGATTATCTGAGAGAGTTTCGTTTAAATCACCTTGTAAATCTTCCCGATAAATCTTCTTACGAGCAAAAATAGGCGGCATATACTTATATTTTTCAATGACTGATCGAGGTGAACGTAGATCCACCATTGCAAATCCGAAAAACTTACTTTCACCATTTTCATCTTCTTCGAGAACCAGTTTTTTAAATTCGGCTTCAGTAACACCTTCTTGACCAGAAGCCAATCCTGAGGGGTTTTTCGCACCCTTGAATAAAAATGGGTAGGATTTAGAATAAGGGCTTTTATTAGTCGACTCCAAAATTTTCCACTCTCTTTTCCACTCGCAAGCCATTATGATTGTAATACAGTGAGGAAAATTCTGAGGTCCTTCTGTTTCTTCCCATTCACTACCGTTCCAGTGTTTAAGAGGTTTTCCCCAATTTTCAATACCGTCCATTTTGCGAACATCCTCAATAATCTTCTGCATCCTTGAATCTTCTTTTTTCAGTAAGCCGTCTTTCGTAAAGGGGATGTAAATTTTTGTGCCGGTCGCAGGATCGGTAAGTTCTTTTTTCTCTGCACGACTTGGTTTTATTTTGCATTTCTGGTTTGTACAGGGATGAAACGCGCATCCTCGGTACTCAAAAAAATATCGCTTTTTGATCAGTCGTATTGGCGAATTTTCTTCATCATTCGATTGAATTAAGATGTGTTCATCTTTACTCTCCGCATAGCCGTCAATATAATAATTACCAATTTTCTTTTCTTCCAAATTATACGAATGCTCAATCGATCCATTAAAAGAAAACTCATCCGACCAATTTAAGTATTCCAACCATCGAATAGACTCCAGTGAAGTATTTTGACGCTGATGAAACATTCCCTTGCTAAAAAATCGCTCCTCATCGGCATAACACAACGAGGAAGAATAGCCCATTTTCTGTAGAGTGTATTTTATACCCGGCCCGCAAGGAAGATCCCCTCGAAAAGACTGTGGATATAAACTGTTAAAATCGTAAGTTATAACAGCTTTAATTATTTTTCCAAGTCTCGTTTTCCATGCAAATTCAGGAATAGCAGGATTTGGCCCATTCAAATACACCGCTCTATGAAGAACTTGAACGATCCCTCCTGTAAGATTATTCCGCATGTCTCGCAGTAATTCTGGAAAGGCAGGAGAGATGGAGTAAATTGGCGGACATTTTCTATCATATTTCAAGAAGGCGATTTTATGAGCAAGTTGAGAAATGCTTAATTCGGAATGAATGCCTAATCCAAATCGTCGTTGATTTGATAAAGCAAATGAAGAAATGGACCCCTGCAAAAGCACACAGTCGTTGTAATTATAATCAATAAGAAAATCCAACATCGTGATCGGCTTTTCATTTGTACTCTTTTCTTCAAGCGCGTACCATCGATCAACAGAAGCCCTGTACATTTTCGGTGAAAAACGGAAAAAAGCGCAAGTGGCTTCGTCGTCTGCGTCCAGATGCCAGCGATTTTTATCGTCGCTCCAAGAAATAAACTTGTCAATCTTAGTTGTCCATTTAACATAAAGATCAATAGTATCGCGGTCTTGTAAAAAACTTTCACCAGCAGAAGATTCATCAACAGGAGGAAGATTATCATAATGACCATTTGCGACAGGATCGTCGAAAATATGCGTCAATTTCAAGAACCGACATATTTGGCTCGCAAGTTCTTTTCGCTCGTTTTTCCACTTACCTTCTTGGATCTTAGTCGCAATAATGTTGTCCATTTCAATAACGTATTCATTCGTTGCAACAGACATAGTAGAATAAAAACAAGGGTACGCTGGGAGTTCTTTTGCTTTCCTTATTTGGTCAAGTTTGTTGTACCATTCATAACAAAATGAGCCTTTTGCAAAAAGTTCTTCATCAAGACCACACGATCTTGCGAGCTTTTCCAGCGCCATCGGACAAGTGTAATTTTTGAAATCTCGAAAACTGAGATTGAGCGCTTCCAAAACCATATATCCAGTTGCTCGTTTTATGAAGCTAATGAGCTTCGTATTTCCGCCAACAAAGAAGAATAAAACAGAAACCAGGGTTGGGAAAAGAACTACCATGTCGTATCGTTCGCCGACCCAAGAATAAATTTTCAACTTGTAAAAGTCTTTCAGATATTTGAGTTTTTTACGATACGCAGCCAACAGATAAGGATTACTACCTTGTCCAGCTTCTTTTTTCTTATTTTCATCCTCAATAAGTTTCTCATAATGTTGAACGCCTTGAAATATGCAACTAGGAATCTTGCTTTCCATTTTCTTCTGAAGAGTAAGAAGATAATTAATGAGCTCAGTGATCATTATTAAAGTTCCCTCGACTTCATCCGTTTTACGAACGAAGCACTCTCGCTCACCGCTACTAGTGATAGTCGCCAAAGTAGCCAATTTATGAAATTTTTCTCCAGTTGAAAAACCGTTACAGTTCATTGTGCACTCAATATCGTAAACGACGAAATATTCTTGCACATAGTCGAACGCTGGCAGGTACTCTTCAGCAACTAGCTCGTGCACATGATCCATAATCCGATGAGATTCGACAGTCTGATTTATAATATCAATAGTGTCAAGATTGCAGGATGCTTCATGCTTCTTCATTTTTCTTTTATTGGCGTGAGTATACAAACAATTAGGGGTTT